GATTTCCCCCGCGTCTACTCAATCCTCAAAAACCAGGATTGAGTAGACGCGGGGAAAATCGCACAAAGCTGCGGGGCAAAATGCGGTCGCGCAGCAGCGAGAGCCAGTTTGGTGTAGTGGTTAAGTGTGTGGACTCTAATCTGGGAGAACCGGGTTTGATTCCTCCACTTGCACCTGCTGATGTGACCTTGGGTCAGTCACAAGCTCTGGCACAGCTGTCCTTGGAAAAGAGCAGTTTGTGTAAAGAGAAGAGTGAGCGCGGAGCAGCGCTTGTGGGAAATCACCCAAAGTCTCTAGAGCCTTCCGTTGTGAAGACTGGCTTTTCTCATGCATCTCCGCAAAGTAAGGGACTAGAGACTTGCTTTAAAAAGTGAAAGCTGAGAATTAAGAGAACCTGTTATACCTGTGGTAAAAATGGTATATCTATATAACAATATTCCAGTGCTGATTAAAAAAGATTAAAACCCCTCAGTAATGGGGGGAGGAAATGGCTGCGTCTGGGAGGGAAAGGTTGTCACCCATACAACAGCTGTCCAAGCTTTACCCATGATCTTTCTCCAAAACTTCAAAGCAAAGCAGGTTTGTGAAAGATTAGAGAAAAGCCGGGGGAACCCCCAGGAAAACCCCAGTCCCCAAAAGCATTGAGCCAAGGGTGGAGAACCCGTGTGAAAATGGCCACGGTTTTACTCAGGTGGGTAGCCGTGTTGGTCTGAAGCAGCAGAACAAAGTTTGAGTCCAGTGGCACCTTTAAGACAGACAAAGTTTAATTCTGTGTGCACCGTGAAAGCTTATACCCAGAATAAAACTTGGTTGGTCTTAAAGGTGCCACTGGACGCAAAGGTTTTACTCAGTTTGGTGTAGTGGTTGAGTGTGCGGACTCTAATCTGGGAGAACCAGGTTTGATTCCCCACTCCTCCACTTGCACCTGGCTGGATGAACTTGGGCAAGCCGTAGTTCTGATAAGAGCTGTCCTTGAAAAAGAGCAGTTTCTGTCAGAGCTCTCTCCGCC